TCCCAGCACAGACCAAAGACCTGATCTCGACGAAGTCCGCGGTCTCCTCCGCAAGGCCAGTTCCGCCGGAAAGCGAAAGGGCGGCACAACACTCTCGCCATTCGGTTCGCGCGTCTCCGTCGATACACCTCGCCAGAACCCGCCTCCCCCTCTCCCACTCCACGTAGTACCCTCCGGTGGCCAAAGCACGTATGCGCCTCCACCAGGCGGCCCCCTCCCTCTACCATCCATGCCCCGCAGCACTGCACCCGGATCGCCTAGTTCCATTTCCACGGGCCAGGTAGAAGAGTACTCATACCAGACTATGGTTCCACCACCTCGCTCGCGCAGCCGACCCCGCGCTCCACAAGTCGAAGAAGACGAGGGTGAAAGGAGGTGGGATATCAATGCGAATGCGCCACAACGCGCCCCATCGAATAATAACCCGTATAGGAGTCCGGGGTCGCCGCAGCAGGGTGGGTTTCAGCAGCAGTTTAAGAGGGAGTAGAACTCCCGTATAAGCTAGGGTCGTGAGCATGAAGTTTCAAAATTCCTGTAATGTCTTTTTCTTTATATCTATTTAGATGGAATCTTAGCATGGCATTGGTGATGGTGGTGGTGTCTTGAAGACGCTGGCCTCACTGTGGCGTTTATATTGCTTGGTAGTGTGTGGGCTCATGAGATGAGCTGAATATCAATTACTACCGTTTAAAACTTCATCTTATCTGACGTCTCGCATTGGTCTGTTTGTCATGTGAGCAACTATCGCTGATCGAGACTGCGGAGCTACGGGGTCGCGCACGTGAGTTTCAACTCGAACTACGGGTATATAAGCCCCTCCTCTGCGCCCCAGACCTGATTTCTTCATTCCACACTTCCTCCTCTTGTGTCCAAAAAGTCAATACGTTTTGGGCATGGAGCAAGAACCTTTTCCAAAATCTATGTATCTATGGTGCATGTGATAAGCCGCCTGCTCGAAAACAAAAATACCGTTTGGAATGAATATCCAAAATGCCGCCTCCAACAACCCATGTCGACTTCTCCTCTGCCACTGCGCCTTTATACCAAAAAGGAACATGGAAATTTCGCATGAGAGGCTGCGTGGTACAAAACATAACGAACCATTGAGGAATGGAGTGCGGAGTCTGCCCTCCTCTCTGGGTACCAAAACAACTATGCACGGAAGCCATGTCCAGTTCCGCTCTGCGACTACACTTATACCGAAAAGCACATTGACATTATGGCATGAGAAGGGCCAAGAAGATCAAAAATAAGTTGAAGCTGGATCATGAAGAGAGAGAGAGGCGGCGTTCCGATTCACGACAAAGAAGCCAGATCCAGAAAGCCAATCATGCAAGATTGATGTTGCGGCGCTCTCCTGCTCCTCTCGAAAAGCTCATCCATTGCCTGTCATGGTTCTCAAGGTTGCATAAAGTCTTCTCTTCTCGCTGCGAGAGTTGTGTTCTTCATTCCACAACTTCCTGTTTTATCTACCAAAACGACTGGATGACTTCCCTATGGAGAAGACTTCTCTTCTCAAAAAATACTCAGAAGCCTAAGGCATGATCTGCTGTCCAGAGGAAGACCTGGATTTATGGACTTCGAAAGCAAAAGTTGACAAGGACTATGTCTGTCCCTGGCTCTCTGGTTGCTCTTTATCAAATCATGAATTGCAATGAGGCATGGAGAGTCTGTGGCTCTGAAAAGTGTGAGGAAATGCTATAATGTGGCGAGCTGGTCTGTTTTATCAAAACTCAAAGTTAGGGCTGCATGTTCCGCGCTTCCTCCGCCTCGCTCTGAAAACGTCCACATGGATGTGACATGACTCTCGGAGCATATAAATACTTCTCATTTACGCCTCTGGGCTTCTATCCTTTACTCCACACGTTGTTGTGGCTTTCTCCAAAAGCTCCATGAAATAGCAGAATGTCTGCGGTGTCTTCCCCAAAAAGCTGGCCAGAGTGGGTGATGGCGCGTCCGCCTGAAAGTAATCCTGAAGTCACGAACCAAAAAACAATCACGGATTATTACATGGCTGTCTCTGCCCTCCCCTCCGCCATATACAAAATTCAGCTACGCCAATCTCATGGAGAGGCTGTGAGCTGGAAGCAGACTGCCACTTTCCATATGTGCTGGCACCTGTGCTTCGATCAAATATTCAACCATCACTTTCATGGTGTGGAGTCTTTCTTCCCACAATCAAGAACAAAGCAGGGTCATCGATGGCTCTCGCAGCATATAAAGCCTCTTACTTCTCACCTGTCTTTCTCCTTTCTTCTTACCACTACCGTACTTGCTGTGTTCTCCAAAATGGTTCTGACAGCATGTTTATAAGCTGCGGTGCCTGTCGCTTCCCAAAGCTGCCAATGTAACTATCATGTGAGAGTGTCTCGTCCTTCTCAAAAATCATCGGGCTAAGCTGGATGTGCGAGAGCGAGGAGTAGTCGCCCAAACATGACTACTACCTGTCTTCTATCTTAAAATTCATGTCGATATTGTTCATGGGTCCCGCTCGTCGATCTAAAACGGCGTTTCCCAGAAGGCATGTGAGAAAAACCTGAATGTCGGTATCAATCAAGAAATGTTGCGAAAGCACTTGGTATTCTTGTAATGAGCGAAGACTGTGTGTCCAGTCCACAATTAGGATTTATAAGCACTTTCTTCGCCTCTGATCTTTCTCTCTTACACCATCACTTACCTGGTATTTTCCAAACACTTGATGTCGTCATCGTATGAGACTCTGTTTCTCAAAAACTTGCGACTATTTCGGCATGTCGAAAGATCCCCCGCTTCGAACACTTACTTCTACATCGCCACGAGCTTTTGCTTTTAGAAAGTCACGCACTAGCCACCCATGTGTAGAGACGTCTCCTGGTCTTCCAAAATACACTCGCCGTTCGCTTCATGCAAGAATATGGGGAAAAGGTTGAGATATAAAATCACACTCTGTTGCCTCTCACTCCTCTTACACCAGCTTTTCGCCTGTCTCTTCAAAGTGACAAGGTATTATACATATGCGAGTCTGTTTTCCAAAACTTTTCCCAAAGGTTGTATGTGCGGAGATTCGCCAGTCGCTAGCAAACACTAAACGGTAGCTTTGATGGGTACTCGCATTCGGAAAGCAAGATCGCATACTTTTATGTGCGCAAACGTCCGGTGCGTCCTCTCACAAAGGAGCTTCTGAAGAATGTGGCGATGGAAAAATGCCCAGGTAGAGATATAAACCCCAACTCGCCAGCTCCTTCCATCACTCTCTTTCATACCAAAGCCTTGCTCTCTTTTTCTAAAACATGTTTCTCTGGCGGCTATGGGCGTTCCTTTTCGAAATGACAAAGATGCCGTTTCATGGAAAGAGACTGTCTGACCTCTAAAAACATTGGAGCAACTTGCCCCTAGCCATCCGCTACGAAAAGTATCAAAAAAAGATCACATGTGGGAAGCGCTGAGCGCACGTTATCAAAGCCCAGAAAGAAGCCTGGTCTACGATGTAAAGTCTACATCCGCACACTCCTCTTTCTTCCTTTCTATTGCCCTCACTCTAGCTTTCTTCTCTAAAACGACATACCACGTCGTTCGATGAGAGCTCTTTTTCGAAACGTTTACACGAATATGCTATGGGTGAAGTGCTTCTGGCTACTATAAACACTTACACTACTCTTTCATGTCTGTTTCTATTCAGAAGAAGGCAAAAAGGTGGTGCATGTGTGGAGACACTGTACAACTTTCCAAAGCCACACATTTCGCCCCCATGCTGAGATGGAGCTGATCATGAGCTGTAAGACGCACTGCTTCCGCGCTCGGGTTCTAAATATATGTGTATTGATACACACTTCGAAAAACTTCCTGGCCCAGATCATGTTGGGAGAGTGACTTGCGCCAAGCCGTTCCGGAGGTTGAAATCAGGATTCAACAAGACCATGTGAAAGCTGTAGGTCAGCTGGAGCGGGTACAAAGACCTCTCTACTGGCCCTCAGCTTCTTTCCTCATACATTCTTCACCTGTTCCCAAAACACCAAAAAGGGTAATCTCCAATCCCTATGACTGAGTCCAGACTTTCAAAATTTACAATGGAAACCGCATGTTGCGGACTTCTGCTACTAAAGCAACCCTAGCGACACGGGCATTTCCTTTCCTCAAGGCGTCGAAAACGTAGCACTTGACCAAAAGGATAGCCCTACTTGTCGGATCTGTTTGCCCGGGAGATTCTCGTCGAAAATCACTTAAGGATAAGAAAAGACTGACATGATCTTGAAAGCCGCGGCATCTCCATATATTCTTTCGGGTGCTATAGCGATTGATGCTTGCGTACGCACTATCCAGTACTGGAGCTCAGCTCTCGTATTCCAAAACACTTTGCAGAGGTATCAATGTGCTGCTCTCGCGCAAGCATGCCGTAAAATCGATCCCTGCGGTAATTTTCTCTAATAGCAATCGCTTAATCTGTGCGAAACCCATTTACCGAAAACGCTCGCTTTTAAAACAGGTAACGGAAGCTCTCCAGCGCCATTGTGATATCAGGACCACTTCGGCAGCAGTGAATGCGCCGCCAAATGTGGTAGCCATGACTTCGGTTCGTATCGAGGTGTTTTCATGAAGACCAGTGTCAACTATGCCTCCGATACCTAATTGTAGCTATCATCAACTACTTCTGTCTGACTGAAAGCCCTGTAGTTTTGCTCGTATGCGCCAGGACGCAGTAAGAGAACATGCATACAGTGGGCACTCGAAAACAGCATGTCGACGAGTAGGGGCGGTGAAATGCGCTCAGGCGTAGCCGGTCAATACATACCATTGACATGTGGAAACCAGCCGAATTGGCCACTCGACACGCAGAAGTGAAAACAATGCTAGGCGTGGGACTTCGAAAAGTCATGACCCATCCCACCTATCACATCCAGTACGACCTACTGGGTTATCAAAGCCTCTATCAACATGCCTTTTTTCGCCTCTAGCACTCGCCGTGAGACTTTACCCAGCTCTTTCCTCAACGACGCTACGGAATCTACCTGTACGCCTTCCACTTACTGATCCAGATCCTGCGTCGAGGCGTTCGAACTCTGGCTTCCAGCAGCTGCTTCTGCGAGTGCTGCATAGTTTGGAGATGGTCTGAAGGAGATATTCATCTCTTCATCAGTCGCTCCCTGATTCAATCCATCGGGATATACCAAGGCGGTTGAGTTCTTGGGAGCCTTGAAGCCTATTAAGAATGTCAGCGCACGTATAGCAAGTGTTTAATAGCAGACCTACCACCATTGTTGAGTACGATCGTGAGGATGGATATTTTGTACTTGGCACCGACCCACAACGCGCTCGAAGGTGCCGCGCACATGAAGCTGCCATCTCCAACAACCTGGCAGATGAGCGTCGGCTTATGCGCACTATCCGCAGTGACGGCCGCATCGTCTGTGGCCATCTTGACACCCAGTGCTGCGCCATCACTCCAGCCAATACCAGTTGCCCCGCAATTGATCCAACGGCCAGGTCTATCGGCCTGAATTTGATCAGAGAGAAGCTGCCCGCATGCCACAGCCTCGACCACGAATAACGTTGTGTCCGGAAGAATCTGTTTGAGAAGATGGCCAATGTTGCTCGCGCCAAGAGATTGCTCGTCGCCCAAGTGACATCGTGCCGCGATTTCAACGAGTTTCTTTTTATGCCTATCTGCAAGAACCTTTTCGCGTTCCAGGAATGAAGGCTATTGTAGCGTCCCATGTAAGGGAGAGGTCGTGATGTGGGAAAGAATTTGTTTCAATGCAGTATAACATTCAGCCCTCCACTGTCCATGCGCTGGGAAGAAGGAGACTGGAATGCGTTCGTTCAGAGGATCGATGTCGATCTGGTATATGCGCGTGCCTCTCGGTGGCGGATTTACCGATGGAATCCAAGGGACGTCGCAGTCGAGGAGTAAGATCATGTCAGCATCGCGTGTGCATTCATCGGTGCTAAGACGGAAGCCTTGCGAAGCCGGGTGTGAGAAAGGAAAGCAAAGGTCGCTGCCTCCAGTGTTATGCACTCGCAAGCCAGGGATGAGATCTGCCAGAGCGACCAGTTGTTCGGGACAACGCCTGTCTCTTCCTGAGTATCCTGTGATTACCAGTGGGCGCTTGCTCCCGACCAAGTCCTGTGCTACCTAAAGAGTAAACACATCATGTAAGTAGGATGTCTTGCAAGCGTATAGATGTAGAACTTGCCTTTTCAACCGCATCAGCTGGCAGAGCACTGGGACCGACGGCTTTCCACTGTTCCTGATCCAACCGGTAAGGCTCCTCGATTACCTCCGCAAGTGTTTCTCGTGCGCTTGCAACATAGACTGGTCCTTTGGGTCCGCTGTTTGCAAACTGCAGCGCACGTGCAACGGTCTGCTTGACGTTGAGGCCTGTCCGGATCTCGCCAGTATATCTGCAATATTGGCGGACAATAGCTTTCTGATCAGGCGCTTCCTGCAGCCAGTGCATATACTCTGTTCGTGACCCCGTCGTCTCTCCAGCCTCAGTGTAGGGACACATTCCGGCGAAGATGAACACAGGCGCCCGCCCGACGCTTGCATTGTGTAGGCCCTGTCCAAGCGCTTGCGTGCCCACGTCGACATGGACTACGACAGCTTGCGCCCGGCCAGATATCCTCGCGTAGCCATCTGCCATCGAAATAGCTGTTATCTCGGATGGGCAGGTTATGAATCGGGGCCATTTGCCTGGCCGCTCTCTCTTGCCCTTGACGATGGCCTCGATGATAGACGGATGGTCTGAGCCCACATTGACGAAGCAGACGGTGATGCCGGCCTGGAGCAACTGTTAGTGACCACGATGTTTCCAAAGTCGCGTATGCCCGTGTGGTAGCAGTATAGACTCACCTCCCACAAAGCCTCGAAGAGCGCGAAAGCCGTGGTGTACCTGCAATGCTGTCAGTGAAATACTTGAAATGTTACTTTTAGGCCGGCGAACGAAGAAGTTAGTGGCGATGGACTAGAAGTGACGCTTAGAGGAAAATTGGGGTGGTATTGGCGAGAAGCAACGCTGATTGTGGTGGTTGCCGGTCGCTCAGTTCGCAACGCGATTGCATGTATCGAGGGCCGGCGCGAAGCTATGAGTACATCTGGGGGATGCTGATACGACGGAACGCTGGACAATGTCGACAGGTACCTGCGCGGTGCAAAGAAGCTCGCGTGCTTGCTCGCAGCAACATCAAACACGTGTATGCGCATGTTGACAAGTCCGAAGGTGTGTTGTGGTTGTTCAGACGTGCGGGACAGAAGACAGATCTGACCCTTGACACGTTACTACTGGGACATCAGCATCAGCCTGTTTCACTGCGTGATCAGTGGGTTTTATCAGCGTTCTATCGCAGAATTGCCATGATATATCTTGTCTGGTTGTTCAGCAGTACTCCTGCTTCTGTCGGCGTTCAGGTCCACCTAATCGGCGTTCACCTATCGGACGCGTCCGGGATTATCCCGAAGTTAGCGCTAATGTCTAGCGCCGGGGCTGATACTCAGCCCCCGAGCTCAGGATCACGATAGGAGAACACGACAATTCCGGCTCTACTGGAGAGCGGCTGCAAGTCGACCGGTCATTCCGCTTCCGGGTACCGTATTCTGTAGCAGGAGCGGGAGCAAGTGCCACTCAATGGTAGTCGTAAAATGATGGTCCCAGGCGCGAACGGTCACGCGAAGTGAGAGAGACTAACGTATACTGACGGCAGGCACAAGGCCTGAGGCGCCTGCGATGCGCATAGCTTGGCACGTTTATGAGCAAGCCAATAACAAGATGCCGGCTGTGTCAACGCCGGTAAGCACTTCCCGCTGACAGCTCGCGACAGGAACACAAGAGTTAAGCGGGCCCGCTCCGATTCTGCCAAGCTTGTCTCGTGCTATCACCAGCTTTGTTCCCTATTCACCGCCAACGCCCGTGACCAATTTGAAGAATACCATCACCGGTTCTACGGTAAACCGCATGCCACGAATAAAATTGAAACAACATTCCGGGCTATCGCACGACTTAGCCGTGCGACAAACATGTAAGAGAAGTGTGGGTGGTCAATAGTGAAGATGGGGATCATGAACAGCAAAAGAAACTTGGTAACAAGAGAACCCGATTACCAATGGACATTGGGGTGCATAGCGCAGGGTCAGATTGAGGATGAGGCTATGTTGCAGGAACTGCTTGAAAGCAACCGTGCGAGACCGAACGAACAAAACCAGTACGGACTCAGCCCTTTCATGTATGCGGCAAGCAGGGCATCCGCGGCGATCGTGAAGGTCTTTCTTGCTAGCGGCAAAGTCGATCCGGATCTGCGTGGCCCGAAAGGACGCATGCCTTTGTCGCGTGCTGCAGGTGAGAAGCGTGAAGCGATTGTATCAATGCTTCTCGAGAGCGACAGGGTGGATCCAGACTCTCGAGATAACGAAGGTCGAACGCCTCTGTCGTATGCGGTGGAAGTGGGGAGCGACGCAATCGTTGAGAAATTTCTCTCGAGCAGCAGGGTAGACCCAGACTCTCGAGATGCAAACGGCCGAACGCCCCTATCGTACGCTGCTGGCAAGGGATGCAACACAATCGTGAGAATGTTGCTGGACAACAAACACGTTGACCCAGACTCGAGGGACACGAGTGGCCGAACTCCATTGTTATGGGCCGCACAAAACAAGCCCCGAGATCTCACGATATTGCGGGGTTTGCTAGAAACTGGCAAGGTCAATCCTGCCTCTCGTGATGAGCAAGGCCACACATCTCTTTGGTGGGCTATTGGAAACGGATGCGAAGAACTTGTCATACTTTTGATTGAGACAGGGCAAGTGGATATAGAAGCAAAGGAAAAGTCGACCGGTCGAACTCCACTGACTCATGCGGCACGGTATGGGAACGAACCAATCGTGAAAGCGTTACTAGGCGTGAGTAACGTGGACTTGAACTCAAAAGACAATGAAGGAATCACGCCACTCATGTGGGCGGCTGAGTACGGACATTCGAAGGCTGTGGACTTACTACGCGGCGATGATCGACTTCATCGAGATCTAGAAGAACACAGTGGCCTCGAGATTGACGCTCGGTATCTTGCTCACTGGGAAAGGTCATGCACCCGGCAGCACGGTAAAAGCTGTGTGCCGTCACCTGTTGAGGACCGACTGCCTCACCGGATTCCTGATTGGGTCATTGACACGGCAGAAGGTTGTCTAGTACCCGGTCACAACGTGTCTAAATACATAGCTTTGAGCTATGTATGGGTCGCCGCAGACGCAAGCACTGATGTGCCCATGGCCGAGAGACTGATGCTAACACAGAAGAACCTAGCTCGGTTTCAAGAGCGGGGCTATCTGCAAGGGGATATACTTGTATGTCTTCCACAAACGGTGAAAGACGCGATTGTCCTTGTACAGAAGTATGAGGGAAGATATCTGTGGGTTGATTGCCTATGTATCGTGCAAGATAGTGAGAGAACACGCGATCAGGTTGACAACATGGGGGAGATATACGCTGGCGCGTACCTGACCATAATTGCCGCGACCGCGTCGGGACACCTGAACACACGGAAATCGATCAATCGTTATATTTACAGCCTAGATCCTACTACCGAACGACTATATAACCAGCTTGTTGAAACAAAATGGGCCACTCGTGGATGGACCTTTCAGGAACAAATGCTATCGAAGAGAGTCATTGTCTTCCTTGATGGAAACGTATTTTGGGATTGCCAGCGATGCGTCTGGAACAGGGATGATCTCACCCCAGAATCCACACCAAGTACTTCATTCATCAGACCGTACTACGACACCGCTCGGCAGATATCCACCATGTCTCGGCCCGATCTCGACATGTATATCGATATGATTAGCTTGTACAACAGTCGCGACCTAACGTACCCGCAGGACGCGCTACCGGCGATATCTGGCGTGTTGAGTACACTTGAGCGTACTTTCGTTTCTGGTTTCGTCAGCGGCCTTCCCTGTGCATTCCTAGACCTCGCGCTGCTATGGCAACCTTACAGTACAGCAAGCCGTAGAGTGGCCAAAGAAGGAGGTACTGTTGCACCAAGAAGAAGTCTACCATCATGGTCATGGTGCGGTTGGCAATGCCCGGTGGACCCTCACAACCTCCGTTCGAGGTTCGACAACCTTGAGGAAGATGACCTCGGGGAAACCACCAGCCCTACTCCATCGACTTGGCAAACACACCGACTTGTGCAGTGGTATGCTTTGTCCGAAGATATGCAGCACACGTCGCGCATTGACGAATGTGATTCTCTACCCACGCGCGAAGAACTTGCTCTCGATAGGAACGCTGTACCCCCTGGCACACAACCATCTAGTCGTCAGAGCGAACTTGGATCATCAAGAGAACGCCAAGATGCTGGTTCGCGTTCTGTATTGCAGCTTCGAAAAAACTGGCCATTCCTCTCGTGCACAACAAGTACGGCATCACTTCGCATCAAAGCCGCCCTCAAAGCGGGACATCGTCCTGGTGGCCCAGGCTTCTATATTGGGCCATCGGTATTCCAACTTCGTCGATTTGCCTGTGAGCCAGCACGATCAGAAATGTGTTATCTCGTATGTCTGGAAGACAAGAGACGGCGTCCAGCCGGCGTACTACGTCAGATGAATGGTGACAGGGCTGAGCCCGGCGATAAGATTGAGCTAGTCGCCTTGTCTACGGGGACTTTACGGTCTACGGAGGCTTTACGATCGGGGCATCTTTGGAACGTTGGAGGAGATGGCGGACCTCTGTTCAATCAGGCGATGGAATCAAACGCCGATGATACATGGTCTTCTGAATTTCTGGGTGAGTAGCATGTCAAGCCTTGCAACGCCAACAAAACCCTCATATATTTGACCTACATGATCTCGGACTAACCCTAGTAGAACTGCAGAAAGAAGTGAAGAAATACGGTAAAGAAAGTGAATCTGGCTGGGAATACCACTTCTACAATGTTCTTTGGATCGAACGCAAGGGCGAGATCTTGTATCGGAAGGCAGCTGGGCGTGTACCGAAAGTTGTCTGGGAGGCAAATTGCACGAAGCCTGCAAAAATCATTCTTGGCTGATACTCCGCAAGAGCAGCGACAACAACTGTTATTGACAGATATCAGACTTCAGTCGCACTGTTCATGTTTACAAACTCAGTATGATATACAATGAGTCATTTCGCGCTAATCGGCCAAGCATCGGTCATACCCAGATATAAAAGTGAACGTCCAAGATCGAAAAGATCCAACAAGCATATTGTTAACTCCAAGTTGGACTATTCCAATACTCGTGGTTTCCAAAAGATGATAGTAGATATCCTCCACGACATCCGCATCTGGACCCTATTTGCCCTCCTCGGCGGCATCCACATCTACATCCAGAACCACCGGCGCCGCCCACCCTTCCCTGTGATAAACACCCACGCAAACGACTTCCTCGACCGAAAAGCCAACCATGACTACACCACCAATGCCTCCGCCCTACTAACCACCGGCCTCACCACCCACCCCGGCAACCCCTTCGCCCTCGCCCTCCCCAACGCCTACAAAGTTGTCCTCCCAGCTTCTCTGACCAACTTCGTCAAATCAAACCGAGATCTAGATCACAGGGAGTTAGTGCGTCAAGACTTCTACGCAGGATACCCCGGTTTCGAAGCTCAAGATGTGTTGCACGCGTCTGGGGACATGCTGTTGGACATCATCAAGACGAAGCTAGGGCATAATGACAGTGTTATGCCTGTTCTGAGCGAAAAATTGGATAGTGCATTGCGTGTGCACTGGGGTGAAGAGAGGGAGTGGCGGATGCTGAACTGGCATGCCGATACAACGGTTATAATTGCGTGCGCTGCTTCGTCGGTTTTCGTTGGACCGGAGAAGTGTGAAGACGAGGAGTGGTTGAAACTTGTGCAGGAATATGTCATGGCATATTTCTCAGCAGTGGAAGAGCTGCACGCGTATCCAGCATGGTTACGACGCATTATCCAGCGATTCTTCTCTGCCAATGCATCTGCATGCCGGAGACACGTCGCCCGCGCGAGGCAAATCATGAGAGACGTCCTCGCGGATAGGCAACGCCGAGTTGAAGAAGCGAAGGAAGAAGGCAGAGATATACCCGTTTGGAACGATGCGCTTGCGTGGACGCAGGCTGCGCCAGGAGGCAAAGAAGCGGAGGCGGGCGACTTGCAGCTGTCGCTTGCTATGGCAGCCATGTTCACTACGAGCGAGTTGTTCAGACAGGTTCTGATTGATGTGGCATCGCATCCGGATATCATCGCGCCGTTGCGAGAAGAGTCGCGGCAGCAGGTTGCTAAGCATGGCATCTCGGTCGCTGCGACAAATGGAATGGTGTTGATGGATAGTGTCTTGAAAGAGAGTCAGAGAAGGAGTGCCGCCGCAGGTATGTATTGCCCTCCTTTCCTTCGTATCTCCATACGACTCTGTGCATGATATGTATGGGAAAGAAGAACTGACATGTCGAATAGTCGCCCTGGAACGCGTCGCTCTGAAAGACGTCAAACTCCCAAGCGGACTTACACTCCCTCGAGGCACACACATAATGGTCGACTCCACCTCGCTCTTTTCTCCTACACACTACTACGACCCCGACTCTTTCGTCGCAGATCGCTTCCTTCGAAAGCGCGAAGCGGGCGACAAGTTCAGCCAATTCGTGCAATCAGGTTCTGATTATAGCGTGTTTGGCGGTGGGAGACATATTTGCCCGGGGAGGTTTTTCGCAGGGAATGAATTGAAGATGGCGATGGCGCATGTGCTGGAGAAGTATGATATCAGAGTGAAGGAGGGTTATGTGTCGAAGCCATTGGAGATGGGAGTCTACAAGGTTGTAGATCCGATGATGCAGATTGAGGTTAGGAGGAGGGAAAGAGATGAATGTGTATTATAGGAAGTTATTTTTGTGCTGATACTTCGCAAGATCAGCGAGCTATGGTCAACTTTCGGGGTCCACGCCACTATGCGCATGACAGACTTAAGGCCTATAAAGTCTCCAACACTTGCCTTCCCTCCGCTTCTTCTTTATCACACTTCCCTCGTGTTCTCCAAAAAAAAAAGTCATGAACGTCAACACGTGTTGAGTCCGCTGGTCAAAAGCTACATGTCAACAAGCGCATTGCTAGCCTGCCCCGACTCCTACCAAAACAAGAATCACGATGGTCATGAATATGAGCGCGCTGAGCAGGGATAGTTCCAATTTGCGTAAATGAAGGCTGACCGCACCGAGAATGAGGAAACGAAGTCATGATGAAAGAACACTATGGGAATACGTCCAAAACTCGACCGTGCACCTTCGATGTGTCCATCGTGCAGCGCTTTCCAAACGATGGCACAGCGAGCTCGGTTTCCAGTTGCTAGGCCTATAAATACCCCTCGTCTTCCGATACTCTGTCCTTTCAACACCACACTACTTCCCCTTTTTACCAAAAACGAAGACGAAGGAATCATGACTGCGGCTTCAGAATTCCAAGACATAAACCAGATTGCGGCATGACTTCTCGGCTGTCGCTTCAAAATCCTGATCTCGGTACGAATACTTCGAAAGCAATAGCCGAGCTTGTGAGGAGAAACATCAAAAACGATCGAATGAACTGTACATGGAGTGGAAGAGTCGAGCATTCTCCACGGCACAATCTCAAATACTGGGAGTGGACTTCTCATGTAGTATGCTAGCGCATCGGTCGCCATGCGCATATAAAATATTCGCCGCGCACCTTTGTACGATGCATCCTCTTACTACGTTTCTCCCTCTTTCCTCCAAAAAACCTACCCCAAGTCTACGATGACTGGACTTCGCGTCCAAAACCAACAACCAAGCGAGGGATGTTGTGGAAGAGCTCGTATGCCTTTCATTTACAATGAAAATTGGATAAACAAGACGTATGTGTCCAGCTTCTCGCTGGCACTAAAACCACACCATTCAACAACTATGCAATGACGTACCCAAAAGACAAATCGTACCAATGCATGCGCTTGAACGGCACCAAAAAAAGCAAAATCGTAGGCGCCCAAACAACGATAGATACAGACCCATAATATACAATCGCTTTTCGTAAATGCAACACACTCCGTCATGATCATGCTATGATACAATCCTCTCCACTTCGATCCGCCTCCCCGCGCCATCAACTCTATTACCCAACTCCGCATACATGTCCCAAAGATACTTCCGATGCAGAAAGACTTCGCCTTGCATCTGCACGTCATCGCTCGCATCGTCCATCGCAAGCCCGATTTTCAGATCTACATAGGCGGGTATCGCGGCTAGTAATTCTCTGAAGAAGGCCTTGTGGACGAATGGTGTTGTGGACCACTCATGGAATTCTGGATGCGACCATTCGTAGTACCGAGGATGGAGGGTTGGGACGATGCGGAGGAACTGTAGTGATGGCAACGCGGAGAAGAAAGAAGCCCAGTCGACGTAGCGGTTCATTCGTATAGCGTCTTTTAGCTGGAGCTCAACTTGTAGTCGTTTGACGCGTGACAGGTCCCAGCCGTGTGGGATGTCGTAGGTCGGGACGGGGAGTTTGTTGAGGGAGATGGCAAACCAGTTGTTGGTGTACATGCAGTCTGTTGCTTCGCCGGCTAGTCTCTGAGAGGCACGGAGAAGTTCCAAGTGCAGGAGTGGTTCTGTTTCGGCTGTTCGGGGACATACTGGGCGTTTTCCTGTTGAAAGTCGCCGTTGGTTCAGCCGTTCCCGTGACTTGAGTGCGGCCAGGCGTTTCTTCCGGTCATTGAGTATGGTCGTGGCATCGAGTATGGGTAGAGAGCGCGATGTTCTGCGCACGACGAGGTGTGAGTAGACTTCGTCCCTGATTTCCTGCGGTAGTTCGAAGAAGCGAAAGGGCCTGCCGTTGGTGATGCGTTGCGTCACCACTGCGTTGGATACGCGACGAGGCCTCCGGGGCGGTATCGTTCTCGGCCGCCGTTCATGCTGTACCCCGTGAAGCGCGCGACTGAGCTCGGCGTCTTTCTTCGAGATATCCCCAGACTCCAGGCCCTTGAGGATGAGTAAACTTGGTAGTAGCTCCTCCAGCATGGAACCTCCCCGACGACGTTGTGGTGCGGCCATCACAGACCAATTGCATAATACAATCTGCTCCTATCAGCCACATGTTGGCGACCATTTTGTTTATGAAGTCGCCTGGACAGGGAAATTGCCTTCATCTTACACTACTGTCAAAATTGCACCAACATGTGGGACCCTGGCTCCCGCGCTGCAGGTCCTGCAGGATCGGAGGTTGCAGGGTGATACCGTGTCGTCGAGGTGTTCGCACCATGTTCAGTACGGCCCTGGTTACCGAGTGACGGGGTCGCAGGATTGTGGTGGAGAGGAGGAGCCGGGCGCGGAGATTGTGGTCCAAGCCGCTGAATCACGACAAGCAATGCGGGAAAGAAGCGGCATCGTCGGCTTTTATTCTGCCAAAACTGTCAGCTGTTCTGTCAGCCGTTCCAATATTTGAGATGGTAGCTGCAGTTATTAGGGCGAGTATCGAAGAAACAATAGCAGAAGAAGTAATTGTATTACCGTAGAGTGCGGTATAGCGAGGCTATGATGTGTCTTAACAGAGGTATTATAGCTTAGTGTTTCAGCCCAAGAAGATATTGCGCATGGCGGAACGCTTAAGCGAAAGCACTAGAATAGAGAAGGCGTTCCCAGGACCTTGGTACGTTCATGCGATCGGTGGTGGGTGATTATTTTGGTGCGTTGCTTCTGGAGGCTGCTAGCCGTCTACGCCTACTTTGGCGTGGCGGAAATACTTCATGCCAACCCAGGCCACGACAACCCACACCCAGCTCGTGACTGCCGTGCAAACGATCAATGCGGGATAGTAGCCCGTAATGGGCAGGGTTGCGTCGTCTTCCAAATCGGGTGGAGCATACGGTGTCTCGCCCACGTCCCAAGCCCAGCTCCAGATTCCGAGGCAAGAGCCCATGCCGACGACGAAAACAATCCACGTTGCTATGAGCACGACCCAGCCCCACCACTCCGTCTCGCTGTAATCCCACTCGTCATCGGGGTCAGCCTCGGCAGGTGTCAGGACTGCCGAGATGGAAGTGCGTCGGTTGCTCCGAGTTGAACGGCGGTGTGCAAGAGATGTCGCAGAGCCCTGGTTGGCACCACTGAAGGAGAAGTCATTGCCGGCGGGAGAGGGGCGGTAGAAGGACATGGTGTCGTCTTCGTCGGTAGTCGAAGCGTAAGGCGCGACCGGGCTCGTCATGGGTGATGCAAGTAGTGAAGGAGCTGGCCGTTCAGGGCCATCGGGTGGGGTGTAAATAAGCGCGGGTGACGACGGGGACAGACGGGCAGCGGGTAGCCATCCACTGTCGGACGAAGAGTTGAGGGGGGCGTTCTCGTAGCTGAAGCGGCCTGGAGCCGAGCCTTCGTCCGAGGGGTCTAAGCTCGTGGTGGTGGTGATTGTGGGTGTTTTGGCCTTGCGCAGAGAGCTGCTCCGTTCACGCATCTTGGCCATGGCGGCTTTCCTAAGGGATCCCTTTCGCTGCCTCCCTTGGCTCTGGCGCAGGGCAGTCGCGATGGAGGACGCCCTCTTCGCACCTTCCGCATCCTGATCGTGCTCCTCGTCGTTGCCTAGTTGTGTCGATGGCGCCTTCCCCATGGCATCCATGGAAGACCTGAGGAAGGCGCCCAGTATGCCTCCCGACTTGCTGCGTCTATGGCTAGACGCGCCGTCCGCCTCGTGCTTCACATCCGCTCCCTCAGCACGCCCCTCATTGCGCGCACCGTTTCCGTCTGGCATGGTTCCCACGTGCGTCAACAGCCATGGAGGACCGAGGTGGTGAATCAAGTGTCATGTTTCGGAGCCAGACCGTCAACGTCAGCGTCATGTTGCGCTCTAGGGTACCAAGCGTAGCGTTCCCTTGCATGCGGGCTAGTCGGGGCCGGATTGGTCGATTCACCGAGTATGGGCCGCCGCATACAGAAGGCCTCCCTCAATTTCCCCTCCACCTCCCGTCCGGGGTTCAACTGCGCTGGTTATCTCGTTAAGCCTGGATTGCGCTGTCGCTAACCGTCACTCATTACCGTCACTCATTTACCACCGTCATGGCTGCGAAAATGCCGCTGCCAGCTCCACCACGGACCCCAACGCCGCCTCCTGACGAGAACGCGCCCCAGCCCGTAGGACTAGGATTCCGAGGCGATCTGGCTGTGGGCGATATGGGGCCTAACAACAATGCGCTGCTGTCGCCCATGTCGGCTACGTTTCCCTCGAAGCAGTATGCGACTCTCGGACCCAGTGACTCAGTTTCGCAGCGGGCGTCGCCGGCGACTCTGTATACACCCGCGAGCGCGACCTTTCCACAGACACCCGCGAGTGCTGCCAGTGGAACCATGGATCTCGACGCGCCCTCTATGAGCGGGTCCGAGAACCCCAATCCCTTCAACTTCCAATCTATTGCCTATCAGCCTGGTCGGCCTCAAATCAAGGCCAATGTGCGTTCTTCTATATAACCCGACGCGCTTATACTAACTTTCGCAGGATATCGGCCGACGACGAGGACACAAGTACAAGCACAGTAGTGTATCGCATCAGATCTTCCTAGAACCCGCACCGCGCGCCCCGCTCCAGCTCCCCGCCTCGCTCCCGATCCCGACCTTCAAAGAGTATCGCTCGTCCATGTCCAAGGATCAGAAGCTGAGGCTGGCATGGTGTTTCTGCCACTTGGTAGTCGCTGGTCTCGTACAGTGGGGCGCGCACGAATCTCTGGCTCTTACGGTGTTGTCGCGACTGATCTTCTACGATGCGCTCGGCGCATTTCTATGTGTTGCCGTTGACGTTGGATCCAACTTCGAGGTATGGAAGCGATCAAGCATACGACACCCGTTTGGCTTTGAGCGTCTGGAGGTTATTGCAGGACTAGGCATGTCTGTCGGGCTACTGTTCATGGGACTGGACCTCATATCGCATGGCTTGACGCACGCGCTCGAGAACAGTGGAGGACACGAGGCGCATCATGCAGACACGCATGAACGAGTATCGCCTGGCAGCATTGATCTTGCAGCCTTGTGTGGCATTGTCTCGACACTCGTCTCGGCAATCCTGCTGAAGAACCACGCGCGCATCGGCAAGGTCATGAGGCTGAGCGCCATCGCTAACCTACCCTCTGTGCTGAGCAACCCTTCGCATTTTCTGACATTATCGTGCTCGACACTGCTTCTTCTGCTGCCATTGCTGAGCATCCAGATGTATGTGTGGCTTGATCGGACCCTTTCATTTTCAGTAGCGTTCTCCATGGTAGCGCTGGGGTGGATTCAGGGATGGACGCTGGGGAAGATGCTGCTCATGTCCTACTCGGGGCCCGGCGTTTCGGACATTATGTACGACCTCGAGACGGACCCAGCCATCAGGGCGGTCGAAGAGGCAAAGTTCTGGCAGGTACACTACGGCCTCTGCCAGGCGAACCTCAAACTACGAGTGCGGAATTTGGAAGAAATTGGGCGCCTGCGCGATCGCATTGGCAGCATGGTGCGGAACCGCTTGGGCGGCGGATACGGGAGCGGCGGGCACAGATGGGAAATTTCGACCCAAATTACACTCGAGAAGGACTGAGGACGCTGGGCGCCGTTGCATATCCGCGATTAGATTCTGCAATAAATCTTCGAACCCCTGTGGCGGGATCATCTCACTAAGACTCAACCGCAGCCCGAACGTTGCCCCAAAAAGCAGTGCGACGCCAGAAAGTTGGTGCACTACGAACATACTTTTGCGGCAGCGCAACGCTGCATGATAGCAGTGCACCCGCTGGTTCCGACGGCAGGTTTGCTGCGGAAAAACGACATCATCTGCGCGAGTGAGACAGCTGGCATCGACGCCTGACGAATGCCCCTGGGCCGACTAAAAGTCTTAGCGAAAGCCCTGCCGACGCTTTCGATCAACAGGCACCCAGTGCGCGCACACCGCTGGCGGCTTGCCCCGTGCGACTGGCCGACTTTGGTCTGATCCGGCTTGGGCTGCCTGCAGGTGCTTGCTGTTCGCTCGTCACGCCCACCGCAACTCTCCACACACCCGTTCGCTTTTGTGCGTCGCCTGCACAGCGTCCTGAAGTTTTGCGAGAGCGTGAATGAGCCTGTGACCTGCGCGGCTGGCAGAAGGCAGATAAAATACCGCCCGCATGCCCTGGCTGGGCATGGCGAGAGGACGCGATGACCGGGCCACACGACACCGTGACGACGGCGAATATCTCGACGAGCGAGAGCGGAGGCACCGGCGCCGCCACAAATCCCGCGACCACGACAACGAACCCACAGCTTCCACACGCGAAAGGAGAGAGCGCCGACGGGCAGAGGAGGCAAGGAGACAGGCCGAGGTCGACATTGAGGACATCCGGGCGCGCAGAGAGTCCTACTACTCACGCAACGAGGCTGAGAAGAGGCGCGACCGCGATCGCGTGGTATCAGACAGCAAACGCACACCGGCCAAGGAAAAGCCACGGAGCAGCCGTGAGAAGGAGGTGCGACGGGACAGCACGCGGAAGCCAAAGAGAGCTGTGATACCTGATGACCACGACGACTTCGTCTTTGGCCGCCCCAAGTCCATGGGTCACGTTGAGGAAGTCCCTGTGCGACGAGCATCTGGGCGCAAGCGAAGCGAGGAAGGCGGCTCTTCTAGCAGGACTGCCTACACTCCGCATTCAGGTTCTGGATCTGCGTCAGTCCGCAGGGTCGAAGTTCCGCCATTGACCAGGTTAGTCCCGTCTCCACTTGTACACGTAGCTCAGCTAATGAGGGCCAGGAATTCATCTACACGCGAGCCAAAAGCACATACTTCGGCCAGAGAACGAGAGCCCAGGCCGACAGTACGACGCAGCAACACTGTCAAGTCGCCTCCCCCAACGCCACTCACCAGGACGCAGTCGGTCAAGGATGCTGCCCGTCGGAGCACCGGGGGCATCTTGTCAAGCTTCTTCTCCAAGGCGGCGCCTCCAGTTTCGCGAACGCCTTCGCGCAAGGCTGAAGAGAAAACGTTAGTATCCCCGTCACGTTACCCTTACAAAGCTAACCTCAATAGGGTCGACTGTCTCGTGTGCATGAACGATGACCTACCCATCACCAAGACCGTCAAGCTCGCATGTGGTCATCGCATGTGCTACTCGTGCCTCAAGCGCCAATTCACCCTTTCCGTAAAGGACCCTGCTCACATGCCACCACGATGCTGCACCTCAGAGCACATCCCATTGAAGTATGCCGACCGCCTCTTCGATGACAAGTTCAAGGTCCAATGGAACCGGAAGTTCCAAGAGTACACGACTGCCAACCGCCTATACTGCCCCACGAAAGGGTGTGGCCAGTGGATCAAGCCTTCCAAGATCAAGATGGACCCGACATACGGACGCAAGTACGCACGCTGCAGCACGTGCAACACCAAGGTCTGCGTACTCTGCAACAGCAAGTTCCACACGAAGCGCGAATGTCCCAAGGACGAGGAGACCAACCGCCTGGTAGAGATGGCCAAGGAGAAGGGCTGGCAAAGATGCTACAGCTGCAAGGCTGTAGTCGAGCTGAAGGAAGGTTGCAATCACATGACCTGGTACGTTCATTACATCACTCACATACAACACTATCTAACAACATCCCAGCCGCTGCACAGCACAATTTTGCATGGTCTGCGCCGCCCCATGGAAGACCTGCAACTGCCCCTGGTTCAACTACCAACACATCCCCGACGGCGACCAGCTCAACGACATGCGCGTCCCCTACCCGCAACAAGCCCGCTACGCCGACGTTGAAGTCATTGAAATCCCCGACGAGCCCTCGCCACCCCTCGCCCGCCGATCCAGCATCCGCACCCCACGCAACCGCAGCGAACGCGACCTCCCTCGACCCGAATCTCGCCGCCTGTCCGCTCACCTCCGCGACTCTCTGCACCTCAACCCCACGCCCACCGTCTCTTCCATCCGCCGCACCGAGCCCGAAGTGCAAATGTACGGCGTCGGCAATGCAGGTGGCCACCACATGAACGACTCGTACGCCATCCGCTCCATGCCCGCATCCGTTGCGCGCACCGCAGCCCGCACATCCACTCCACGCACGTCAACCCCACGTGGCGCCTTCTTTACCAGCAGCAGCAGCACACGCCGTGCTGCGCCCGCGCCTGCCCCCGTTGCCGCCCCTCGCGTTCGACCCGCATCCACACCTGTCGTCACCTCCTCCACCATGGCCGGTCTCTCTCGCGATGGCCGCAAGGTCGGCCAGAACCGTGTGGGCACCTGGCTCACTCACGTCCAAATCGACCCCGAAGCTACCAACACAGCTGCCCGGGATGTCGAGGTGGATGACTGGAGGTGCGATGGTACCATGATTGGTATCGACTAGATCATATCGCATTCTATTGCACACATAACGACCGGCGTTTTTTTGCTTTCGATCTGGGTTTTACATCTCCTTCTAGTCGTCACGCTTCCTCTTCTTCACTCAGCATCATTTCTGGGCTTTGCGTTTTTGGGATTTATACATCGGATTGTTCATTTTCTCTCTCGGTTATTGGGTTGGTCATTTTGAGCTTTGGGAATGTTTAGAGTTACCCTTCTCCCTCCTTTTATCTTTCGCGGGCGAAAAACCGCGGAAGGTTCTTTTTCTTTTGTGTGTATTAGTCGTGTTGATTAGCGGTTTTTGGATAGCATTTAGCCGGCAAGATACCCACCCTTTACGCCCTCGTTTAATCAGTTATTTTATTGAGTTAATGCTACTGTACTCTTTCTGTTCAACTTCAAAAGTGTTTGAGATTCTCTTGCTATTGGTGATGTAATGTGATGTAGTTTAGCGGGAGTTTGGAAAAGGTCAAAAAGTGTTTTGTCGTAGAGTACAGTAATGATATTGCTATCACGTCATCCTATTGCTACAGACCATTGGACAGTGTTTACACCAGTCTAATTCCAAATGCTGTATTGTTGAGTGTTAATAGGCCCACTGCAACGCAGTGAGTTGAAACACTTCTATCAAATACTTCCCAAACATGTTTGATAATTTAGACATCGTGTTTGAATATCAGCCCAACTATGTGTGCGAAGCCAAGACAACCATGAGGCTACCTAAATCTACGCCTCACACTAAGAAGTGACTGAGAAGTTCTGCAGCCTACACCAGGGTCGAACGTGCAGGTCAGGAAACATAGCAAGTCTTCATCTTCTTCGTCGATTGGAGTGCCTACGCCATCGCCCCTCAACTCCCCATCCTAATCGTAACCACCTCCCCGAGCAAGTAAGCCAAAGGAGATCCTCAGATCCACCTCGTCATCGTGAGGCGTATGCGTCGTACGTGGCACCAGCGCAATGGCTCCCACATTCGCTTGTCCTCTCGCTTGATATGTACAAAAAAAATGAGGCAGTGAGCAGAGAGGGGTAACGGACCTATTCTCCCAGCCCCCCTTCAACCCTGTACCCTGATCGTCTACTGAGCGGTGAAGCGCGTTGGAAGAGCAAAACATTGGCAAAAAGAATAGTTCGAAAGATCTCGAGCAAGCTCGAGCACGGTGATGTCCCCTTCGTGGATCGAACACGATACCTCCAGATTTAGTGACTGATGACTTCAGTCTGGCGCTCTCCCAATTGAGCTAAGGAGACGGTTTCTTGATGCAAGTTTGGCACACTGCAACAATTATATCGCGAGCAACAATGCTTCTTCAAGAGCTCCAATCGGCCAAGATCGCGAAATGGAACCTTTGCAATATGTCTCTGCCGTGTGTGGAGTTGAGGTCGTTGACTAAGAAAGATGACGGTTAGTGTACCGAGGCTCACCCATCGCAAGTCCACCAGCTCTACAGCATCACCCCCAACTTCTTTCCGCGCAAGAGCTCCCACACTACCACAACGCCGTCGCGCTCGTCCCCACACCGCTCCAACTCTTGCAAGATGCAACCTTCGCCCCTCGCGAACCCATTGGCGACCGTCGCCCAGCTCGAAACTTCCGGCTCCCAACTCGATGGCATCCCACCCACACTCGAAGACTCCATCCGCTTCGCCGGCGCGCGCCTCACCCAAGCCGCCGGCATCCTGCTGCGCCTTCCACAAGAAGTAATCGCGCAAGCCATCGTAATCTTCATGCGCTTCTGGCTCGGCCCCGAAGGCGGCAGTCTCGCTGAATTCGGCGCAGAACAAGTCTCAGCCGCGTCGCTGTACCTCACCACGAAGCTCTCCGCATACCCAAAGTCTGCGCGCAGTCTTGTGAATGTATACGCGTATCTCGATTCGCTGCCGGCGACGTACTTCGATCTTGAACAGCTGCAGAAAACGGGCGAAGACGCAAAGGGATACTACGTCAGCGAGGGGACATACGAGCGCCGTCGCGCAACGCTGTTTACAACCGAACAACGCATACTACGTACCCTGGGTTTCAACACGCACGTCCAACTGCCCTACACACTATGTATTACATACATGCAAGCCCTCGACATCTTCAGCCACCCACGCGCCTCCGAACTCGCCAAACGCGCAATGGCGCATCTCAATACCGCGCTCTTGAGTCCACAGTGCCTTTACCTGACGCACCAGCCGCATGAGTTGGCGACGGCGGGAATTTATCTTGCGGCGAGGGAGACGGGGATCAAGATGCCCGAGTGTGAGTGGTGGGAGGTGTTTGATACGGAAAGAGAGGTACTGGGTTTCCTGTGCGTGGGGTTGTTGAGCTTGGAAGGGTGGGTGAGGAGTGAGAAGGAGAGGTGGGAGGGAGGGAAGGTGCCTATGAGTGTTGAGGGGGTGGAAGCGGAGGTTAGGCGGAGGAAGGATGAGGAAGCCGATGCTTGAAGAATCATAACATGGCATGTGATTCATGGTCAATCGACTCTCGGACCGTTGAGCGCCATCTCGTTTGCTCTCACCTTGGACCTCATCGGACATCGAACATGGACGCTGCACACCTCGCGTCGCCTCTCTACACGGCTCTCGAACATGCATGACGAACGTCGGAAGTGACACACTGTTCGCGACGTTGCGCAAAGTTCTGGAAAACACCATATCTTCACGATGTTTCTCGTACGCAAACAAAGCGTGGGCTTGAAGAGTAAGGCGACCGTACGGGGCAATCCGATATATTCCCGTCACTGCTGTCGATGAACACTTATATCGTATCGACATGGCATCGAGAGTGACACCGATTCAGAAGAGCGTGATGCCGTTTGAGGACTTCCTGAGGTGGAAGAATCACGGCGATATTGAAGTGCGGTACGATCGGTTCGTGAACGATAATGGGTATGAGCAGCGCATCACCCGTCTACCGTCAAGTTTGGGCAGCCAACAGAAAGGGTCTTCACATACGGAAGCTGCAAAGCACCAAAGTGCGCCTGCACGGCTAGAGGGAACATATGAAGGCTTTAGCATCGAAAGAACTACGAAAGCCATCATGAACGACGAGCCACTCGACAGCGTTGAGAACCATGACTTTGTACTCGGTCCTCGCAGTAATCTCGTGAGGCTGAGTCGCAAAGCTGCTGTGAAGCGGAACAGCACGAAACAGAGAAGGATCGAGACTGAGAGACACGACAGCACGATGCAGAGCACCCACGTCCGCGCGAAGACTTCTTCCAACGTTCCAGCTATCCGAATCATTGGGAGCACGCCACCTATGTTACGCCGCTTTAGCTTCGACGAAACACCGAGTGAGCTCTCGTTTAGCCTCAGCAAGCTCTCTAATTCACCTGATTTCGAAGATGTTCCGCTCAGCCCTGTGGCCGGTCCAGAGCTCGTTAAATCGCCTCAACCGCAGCTACCTGCCCAGGAACAGCAAAACCATCGAGCGGCCAGGGAGGAGCGGGAGGAAAATATGGGAAACCAAGAAGTGGAGCAACAGCAACGCCATGTTCCGACGACTTTTGATCAGATATTGGGGGAGAAGAAGATTCCTACCGCATTGTTGTAGATATTGGAGGAGAATGAGTGACGTGAATGAAGGAGATGTGGAAGAAGATGGATACGAAAGCTTAATCATCTGGCAATAGCAAACATCATCTTGGGCCGAGCGGGACACATCACCCTGAAATCAGTTCCACGCTGTTTATCAACACGTGCCCGAATTCAAACGCAATTTCACAACGCAATCGTTTGCTACACTGTACATCTTCACCTCAAGTTTCTTCATCACCACCGCAACAGCTGGGTGAGACCATGACCTTCTCGAAGTGAGCCATTGTAGCATCAACACAATGTGTTGTTCCTCTAACCCAAACCTTCACACTACATTGAACCATCGCCAGATACAACCTGTAATACCCAGATTTCCATATTGATATACAGTTGATACCCATCAAGCTCCTCCTCTTCAGACAGAGCGGAAATAGCTCACCACCCATAGACACAGCTATGCCACGCGCCCTAGTCGCCCTACCAACAGGAGCCCAAGCATCATGGCTCGACATGCTCCCTTCCTTCCCTCTACCTAAGCCTAAGCGCCAACCCCGTGCAACCCCCCAAATGCTGCACCGCATTTCCGCTCTCCACCACTCCCTCTCTATCATAAAACACTCCCTCATAACCCGCACACACATGCACAACCTCTACCGCACCCTCGGCGCCTACTGCCTCACCTGCACTCCCCTCTCCACGCGCGGCCGTTGCGGTCCCACATGCCCCCTTCTCCGTCCCTATACTTCCAGTTGTGCGTTTTACGGCGCCGTGGAGGCGGATAAGGGATGGGTGAGGCAGTTAGTTGCTGATAAGGCGAAGTATAGGGAGGTTGTTGGGGATATGCAAACTAGGGGTACGGCGGTTTATGCGGCTACGGTTGCGAGGTGGGAGAGGGTGGTGGGGAAATTGAGGGAGGAGTGTGAGGTGCCGAGTGAGAGGTGGGAGAAGGAAGGGTGGCCGAGTGGGAGGGGGAATGAAGGGGAGGGTACAATTACATTTGAAGAGGGTTGGAGGTTTGAGCGGGCTTGGGGCAGGGGGATGATGGTGGGTGGGGATGGGGGTGCGGCGCCTGAGGTGAGAAGTTTGGTTTTGAGAGGGGTGAAGAGGAAGTTTGAAGATTGTGATGATGAGAATGATAAAGATGGGGAGGGTAGGAAACGTGTCAAATGTGCGTAGCAGGGTACTAGTAAGTTTACTTGGTACAACTTCATCGACTCAACGATACATATATCTGGCTCCCGCAGTCCAACCTGTTCCTCAGAAGTGCGCGATGGACTTAGTGTTCTTTCGATGCTCCCGAAGCAGAACCACAAGCTCGTTGTCATCAGGGAGGCGCCTCATCAATGCTCTTGCTGGCGTCCCGAACGAGTCGCCTTTGTCGGGGTTGGCACCATGCTCCAGTAGCCATTTAGCTGTCTCGTATCGCTTCCGGCGGAGAGCACAGTGTAGTGGTGTGCCTTCGCGTCCGCAACATTCGTCTGGAATAGGTGGTCCACTGTCCATACTGTGGATGTCGAGGCTTAGCTCTGCGACAAGGTACTCAAGCATTGGAATTCTGTTGTCGCTTGTACTACCCGCTGCACGGTGGAGCGGTGTAGAGTTGGATAGCACAGCACCATGAGCGAGCAAAAGAGCGAATATCTCTGAGCTACAGTTTGCGGCTGCGCTATTGAGTGTGTGGCCACAGTTGGATATGGGACGCATATTCATCGCTGGCGCTGTTATCTTCTTCGGTGGCCCGAGGTTGGGGTTCGCTCCTAGTTTGAGGAGCAGTCGAATGCTCGGTTCGTCGTTCTCTTGAACAACGAATCTAATTCCAATAAGCTAGTTAATGTGGTTGCAGTTGCCTTGCAGACTTACAGGAGGAGAGTAGCACCGCGGGCTACGCTGGTGTTGACGTCGTAACCAGACTCTATCAACCATTTCACTGTTTCGTGGGATCTGGATGCAAGATGCACTGTGCGCGTATCCCATTTGGCACCTACTTCAAGCAGCTGGCTGGCTAAGGCGAGATGTCCGCGTTCAACAGCTCGGTTGAGACCATATGTCAACATCCCAAGCTCGCGATCCGGTGCCAGTTGTAAGGCAATGGCCGCGTCATTATCCTCGCACGACTGCAGAAATACTGGGTAGTATGGGTCGTTTTCCGAGTTCTTGGTAATAGCACGTGCGGCATGCGGCGGCATGGTGAAATCAGGTGGTGGTGCACAGTGTGCCCAGGTGAGGAACGAAGCGGGGTGGTGAGATCAAGCGACGGTTTCGATTGCTCAGTCGCGATCGCGATATAAATACATCTGACTGGCCCCCCGAAGGATTGCCGACTTCATGCGGCGTATGCGGCGTACTGTTTCAGATACTACCCAAACATGATGGATGGCCATCTGGGGTCGCCATGGGGCTAGCGCCGGACTCGTGGTCGTCCGTGCGGCCTGTAAGTAGCAGTCGCACTCATCCTCGTCACCTTCGAATCGCTTCCTTCTGTTCAACATCGATATCTCCCTCTCCTAACTCGACCACTTCATCTAGTGGATTCGCATTTGAAGTACACCTGGCATTGGTACAGCAACGTCAGACAAGTCACAAACATGTTGAATTGCATCGTCAAATCAGCCCCCATGGCCATCAGCGTCTGGTCCAGGTAGAGTATGACGCTACGCCACGGGCCAAAACCTCTTCGGAGACCAAACATCCGTGTATTTCCTTGCTTGGATTCGCTGACCGATCTGACAACATCGCACCTGCGCAATACCGCTGCTTCGCGGCGCAGAAATGGACAGCGAAACGCAAGGCGGAATACAGGTCCTGAGTCCCGATTTTAGAACATCAACGACAATCCTTTGCAAGCGCTTCGGACATGTAAAAAACTACTACATGGATGGTATGCAAGATTATCTAAATTGGACTGTAGGTAGATGAAAGCGCAAGCACGCTGACCATCCAGATGACACATAAAGCTGTACAAAGATCATGATTCTAGGAGCTTTCAAAGTACTCTCCCCATCGTTCCTTTCTTCCTGCATCACTACGTCGTCATGAAACTCCTACACCGCGGTAATGCATTTGCTTTACTTTTCTCCCATTCGGCATTCATCGAGGCACAAATCAGTACGGGTACCGGAAGCAGCAGCGTGATCTTCCAGAGTGAGGCCCCATTCCCGGTGCCGGCCAACAGCACAAGCACCCCTATCGTCAAACCTTCCACTCCACTCAATGGACCACATACGACGGCTTCCTCGAGCCTTTCGTTCACTAGTCTCTCTTTGGCGACGCAGACGAACGATACCGTCGTGTATACCAGCACAATTGCATCTTCGTCGAAGGCCTCAACTGGAGGACTTACTACTTCTCCCCAACCTTCCGGCCCCCCTTTAGTCTCGTCTATCACTTCGTCTTACACTCCATCTCCAGTCACGTCGAGTACTGCCACGTTTCCACCAGCGGTATCTAGTGCTAGCAATATAACGACTATATCAAGTTCCTCTACGGGAGTTACAACCAGTGGTGATACAAGCCTCTATTCAACCGTACAGCCTACTGTAGTCAGTTCAGCGTCCAACACTGCCTCAACAATACTCGAAACATCAAATAGCCCAGTACTTCCTCCCGGAATCACCATTCCTCCTTTGCCAGTAACTACCTTGGTACCCACTGGAACCGAAGTCCAGTCGAGTGCGTCGGATCTATCCATAGCCATCTTGGGTGTTTTTCCTATTCTCCAAAACTGGATAGAAGATCCTGTCGCTCATGTCACCGAGGTGACCGACGAGCTGGACAATATCATACCCGACGCAGTTGGCTTCTTGGCCAAGCTACCAAAGCCAACAGACGGAGTTGAGCCATGTGGGTCTGGAAAACGCCGAAGAAGCGAACGAAATCATGAATTGCACGATGTTCTCAGTGAGCGCGATTTACTCGGCGGGTTGTTCAAGACAGCATTCTCGCTCGTCAACTGTGTCATCAACACTACCAACAAGGTGAAGGATGCAGTTATCGGCGGAACGACAGCCGCAGTGGATACTGTCAAGGGCTTACAAGATGACCTCAAGCCGTTGCTCGATGCTCTCAACGAAATGGTTCCAGACGAAGCCTTTGAGCCCTCTGACTCAGTGTCAGAGACTGAAGAACCTACGCAGACTTCCTCCTCTACATGCACTCTAACGACCGTTAGCAACTGCGACATTGCGTGTACAGCGACTGCAACTACGACCAAAGGAGGGCCAAACAAGCGGGCGCAAGGTGATGTCTGCACCACAGTATGCGGTGCACCCATCACCAAATGCGATGTTACTGGTTCCACTTCTTCATCCACGGTTACGTCTACAACAACGGCTACTAGACAGAGATGTGCCCCCGAATGCGACAACTGTAATGGAAAGGTGCGAAGATTGGCGACTAGCGTACCTGCACCGACCGAATTTCCCACAGCTTTTGAAAGCATTGCTATCTCCTCAACCACGACCATTGCTGTATCGCACTTCCGCAACCCTCAGTTGAGCGCGGAAGGGCTTGCACCAGTGGAAACCGGCCACCCTACTAGTCATGTCTCGAAGCGAAGTCTTTCGAGCCCGTATGGGCCTGAACACAACGGTATGTGACTTGTCTCATAGCTGGTTGTATCCTTTTAAAGCTATTGGAAGCTACTGACATGCATCGCCCATATGTAATACTCAGCTTCCACTGACGTCGACTAACGCTTTCAGGCGATGTTGGGGCATGGCTCCTTGATCAGATTGAGGATAGCCTTAACCCTTACGGCTCTCTTGAACAGGGCCGAGGAACGACTGGGCTGACGTTCCCACTGGAAGATACAGCGGACGATTGGCACCTGGTCAACCTATGGGGTTGCACATCCGTCGTGGTCATCTCCCGCAAACGCATGTTTCTTACCCACATCTGGGAAAAACCTTCCATGGAACAGCCACAGCTTTTCCAAAGTGAGGTATTGGATGTTCTCCGAAATGGTAGTCCGGAGTTTCCCCACGGTCTTACAGTTTTCACTGTGCCCGGCGAAGGCTTCGAAAACATTGCAGAGAACAAAGTACGTGCGTTCATCATTACGCCGTATAGAGATTTCGCTATCAACCCGGCCAGCGACGACATTAACTATCCATACGAAGTGGACAAGATCAAAAATCTGTTAAACAACATCCTTGGACGGAATGACGCAGTAATTATACCCTACTTTCCGGCTGAGGAAAATAATCGGGATCAGACGACCCCGAAAGGCAAGATCTACATTCAATATGACCCCATGACAGCCGCTCTCGTATCAGCAGAAGGCGGTTGCAATCAGCAGCAAGTTGCGGCGATAGAGCTTTGGTTTGAGGATGCTCCCACCTACCGTTATAGAGACACATGGCAGCCATTCCCAGATCAGGTTGTGCAGGCAAAGAAACGGTCCGTCGCATCCAGTGGTAAAGACCTGCGCTTGCTCAGAGGAAGAGAGGTGACGGATGCGGACGAAGCAGAGTGGAAAGAGTACGAGGCTTTGATGAAACGTCAAGATGGCGACACTTGTGCTCGACCTAGCAACAGCTTGTCGGTATCACCGGTATCATCCATCGCATCACCAGCTTCGACTGCGCCTACTCCGTCCACCCTCCAGACAACGGTCAGGCCGTCATTGAGCGACTCAACCGGCGAAAGCTCAAGCCCACCGCCCTCGTCGATAGCCACATCATCACCAACTTCAAAGTCTTCTTTGGCGACGGATACTCCGTTTCTTACGTGGACACCGGCACAGCCTAGTACGACAAAATCACCATCAGCAGCGCCCAAGCCATCTTCTACATCGCAATCTCCACCACCACCTCAAACCGAGCCTCCGACAAAGGCATTATCGGTGAGCTTTCGGAACACAAAAAGCAATGGCGAAGACTACAACAACTGGACCTTCTTCGAGATCAAACCTAACACCCAGGCCGATGGCTGCAGCGTACCCATCCTCAACGATGTCTCGCGGCAATGGTCCGATGCCTCAGCACTGTCAAACCCGCCGTGGCCGCACGGCACTTTCACTATGCCACTATTTGGCGAAGAGGACTGCGAATACCTGAGTGATGGGTCCAATCCGGGTGTGCTCCATTGTCCTAGCATGGGTCAAGGTAAGACGGTCGGGTGTAAAAAGGCTGATGAGAAGGACGATGTTGATGATATCACGGATTGTCAATATCCGGGGCTAGAGAGGAAGGTTCGTGTTGTTGTTTATTGTGAGTGGTAAGATAGCTCATTCTTGGAACTACGAGTCTTTTGTGCATATACCTGCGACTGTCGTACCATTAGTGATGGCTCGCTGCTCGCTCCGCGTTATCGCAGGCCATTGGCATGTGTTCGGCTACTGCAGAAGAGACGCTTGAGATGCAATGCGCCTCTCCGTCACCATAACAGGCTTCAAAGTCCCCCAAACAAGGTCTTATCTACACTAAACAGCGGCTGAAGTGCAACATCGTGTGAATGGCTGGTGTTTGAGAGGCTAGCTGATCGTCGCTGCGGCACTGCAGATGTGGTTATGCGAGCCTCCTGTGACGTGCGTTGCGGCTGGAAGCTTAGCACTTGAGGAAACCATGACGTCAACAACGAGCTTGGACTTATTGCAGCTCTAGACCCTACGTTTGGCGGGCAACCTCAACTTTGAACTACACACCTCACAACACAGGAATCTTTGTCGGTTTCAATTGCATCTCACCAATTCACATCATGAGCTTCCTACGACCCATGTCAATGCTGCGCTCGGCAGCACTACGGCCCGCAGCCCTCTCGGCGGCTCCCCGTGCCCGCGTCCAAGTTCGTTTCGCGACATCAGATTACGGCTCTGGTAAGGGCAACCCAGCTGGAGAGAAGCCCGAGAAGCAGGGCGCCAACCCCAGCGAGAACCTCGAGCACCCCGGCCCCGCACCTCCCAAGGTCGCCCAGGGCAAATCTTCGTCGTCGCCGAACAAGGACAGCAACGCCAGCCAGAATGACTCTCCCAAGCCTACATCCGAGTCACCGGCTCCTAAGAGCTCTTCCGGCAAGCGCGAGTTCTCGACATCGGCCCGCCAGATGACGGACAACAAAGAGCCAGCCGTCAAGCAGGGCCAAGACAACAAGCCCTCGCCCAACGAAGTCAAAGGTGCGAAACCCAAAATACTCAACGAAAACCCCCCGGCTTCTGAAGAGCAGAGCGAGGACGTCAAGCAACACAACA